TAGCTTCCTTCTTGTTAATTTTAAAATAATGAAGAAGTTTTTTTTATATAAAAAATCAGATTTTATAATACAAAATAATATTTTTCTAAGTAAAGGAATCATTTTCGACCCCATAAACCATATATATTCTTGATCAGCATCAACAGGGGAATCTTTCTAGATATGTCAGGAAGAAATCGATTTTTTGGCCATTTTTGCAAAATTTTATAAGGGGTTACATCATTAAAATTTTTGATTTTGATAAAAAATTGAATTTTCAAAATTTTTAAATGAAGTATGCAGAGTTATTAACTGTAGAAAATCTTGCACAGAACAGTTTTCCGATTTAAAATTAATGCTCTTTTAGCCGAGCTATGATATTTTTAATTTAAAAAAAAAATCAAGAAGTTTTGTAATATAAAAAATCAGATTTTATAATACAAAATAATATTTTTCTAAGTCAAGGAATCATTTCCGACCCCATAAACCATATATATTCTTGATCAGCATCAACAGGGGAATCTTTCTAGACATGTCCGGAAGAAATCGATTTTTTGGCCAATTCTGCGAAATTTGATTTGGTTACATCATTAAAATTTGCAATTTTTGACCTAAAAAATTTTTTTTAACTAAGTATGCAGATTTATAAACCTCATAAAAACTAACACAGAACAGTTTTCCGATTAAAAATTTATGCATTTTTGGTCGAGTTATGATATTTTTTAATATAAAAAATCAGATTTTATAATACAAAATAATATTTTTTTAAGTGAAGGAGTCATTTCCGACCCTATAAACCATATATATACTTGATCAGCATTAAAAGGCGAATCGTTTAAGCCAAGTCCGGAGGAAAACTAATTTTGAGCCATTTTTTCGAAATTTTATAAGGGGTTACATCATTAAAATTCTCAGATTTTGGCCAAAATTTGAATTTCTTAAATAATAAAATAAAGTATGCAGATTTATTAACTGTAGAAAAACTTGCACAGAACAGTTTTAAAATACTTACCTATAATTTATAAAAAATGAGGAAAACCCTCATAACTCGGCCAAAAACGCATGAAATTCAATTTGGAAAGCTGTTCTGAGTTGCCCTTTCTAAGCTTAACAAAACTGCATACTCAGTTTTGCTAAAATACTTACCTATAAAAATGTGAACCACACAACTCGGCCAAAAATGCACGAAATTCAAAACCTAGTATGCAGTTTTGTTAAGCTTAGAAAAGGCAACTTAGAATTAATAAATTATAGGCATCTCACTAACTGCCAGTGATGCTCATCTAGCTATTTGCTGCATCTTTTGGGCTGAATTGCCTTTCTACCCAAATAATGGTGCATCTTTTGGGCTGAATTAATTAGCAACAAGCGAAAGTGCCAATACAAAGCATACTTTTACGCTGAATTTATACTGGGAACAGTACGTGCATCGTGAAAGTATGCAATTAAAAATGTTCTGCCCTTAAAATGCTGCATCTTTTGGGCTGAATTGCCTTTCTACCCAAATAATGGTGCATCTTTTGGGCTGAATTAATTAGCAACAAGCGAAAGTGCCAATACAAAGCATACTTTTACGCTAAATTTATACTGGGAACAGTTCACCTACGCGCTGATGCTTTACTATGTTCGTCAGTTACGATTTTCTGGAAATTAAAGAGCAAAGATTGTCTTGCCTATAATCAGATTTTATAATACAAAATAATATTTTTTCTGGGTGAAGGAGTCATTTCCGACCCCATAAACCATATATATTCTTGATCAGCATTCAAATGCGAATCGTTTAAGCCATGTCCGAAGGAAAACAGATTTTTAGCCATTTTCAAGAAATTTGATAAATTTGATTTACATCATTAAAATTCTCAGATTTTGATGAAAAATTTAAATTTTTTTTAAGAATGCAGATTAATTAGGCTTATAAAAACTAGCTCAGAACTGTTTTCCGATTTAAAATTAGTGCATTTTTGGCCGAGTTATGATATTTTTTAATATAAAAAATCAGATTTTATAATACAAAATAATATTTTTTTAAGTGAAGGAGTCATTTCCGGCCCTACAAACCATATATATTCTTGATCAGCATTAAAAGGCGAATCGTTTAAGCCGTGTTTGGGGGAAATCAAATTTTAAGCCAATTTCTCAAAATTTGATAAGGGGTTAGTTACATCATTAAAATTCTCAGATTTTGGCCAAAAAAAAAAAATCAAGAAGTTTTTTAATATAAAAAATCCGATTTTATAATACAAAATAATATTTTTCTAAGTGAAGGTTTGAATGTGAATCATTTTCGACCCCATAAACCATATATATTCTTGATTAGCATTAACATGCGAATCTTTCTAGACATGTCCGGAAGAAATCGATTTTTTGGCCATTTTTGCGAAATTTGATAAGGGGTTACATCATTAAAATTAGCAAAAATGGCCAAAAATTTGATTTCTTAAAATTTTAAATTTGGTATGCAGTTTTTTTAAATTAATAAAAACTATCACAAAACTGCTTTCCGAATCGAAATTAATGCATTTTTGGCTTAGTTATGATATATTTTAATTGTTACCTGCAAGGGTATACAAACTTTGGCTGGCCAAAGTTAGCTTTTTTTCTTGTTTATATTGAAAAACTTCTTGATTTTTTTTTAAATTAAAAATATCATAACTCGGCCAAAAGAGCATTAATTTTAAATCGGAAAACTGTTCTGTGCAAGATTTTCTACAGTTAATAAATCGGTTCTGTGCAAGATTTTCTACAGTTAATAACTCTGCATACTTCATTTAAAAATTTTGAAAATTCAATTTTTTATCAAAGTCAAACATTTTAATGATGTAACCCCTTATAAAATTTTGCAAAAATGGCCAAAAAATCGATTTCTTCCGGACATGTCTAGAAAGATTCCCCTGTTGATGCTGATCAAGAATATATATACTTTATAGGGTGGGAAAGGTCTCCTTCACTGCGTTGCAAACTTCTGACTGAAATTATAATACCCTGCAAGGGTATACAAATTCTCTTAAAACATTTTCTCAGTGTTTTGATACTTTTTCAAGCACCGGTACCCATCTTGCAGTGGGCACGTGCTGGGGATAAGCAGTCAGCCATTGCCCCGAAGGACACGCATTCGCCTCTCGCCTCTCGCTCCTCTCCTATTCCCTCTCCTCTAGTGGGTGTGCGAATCGTTTTATTGCAGGATGGCCATGCAATATGTATAAGCTGATTGCTGGCAGTCATAGCCAAAGGAGAACAAACAACCGACACAATTACGGCAGCAATCTTAAACAATCATTGACAGGCTCTCCGGCTCTGGCAACTATTTTCCCTTTCTTTTTCTCTCTCAACAGGTAGAGGCTGTGGCATCCTTTTGCATGTCCTGGGCCCAAAGATAAAAAAGAGCTTCTTAAATTGAAATTCCAATCGGGTATTACACATGGGTCGCCGCCGCCTCTCTTTTCTTTATACTCGCCTTTTGTTGCTGTTCTTGTTTATTGAAACAGCGGCAACAATAAATTTTGTAGCGCATACTTCAAATGTCAAATGCGGCGGCGATAAAAATTTCCTTTATTGTGCCACAAACGATAACAAACACACACACACACACACAGGGCACACACAGGGCACACATATCCTGGTCATTGCATTGCCTTTTCGGTCTTGGACTTCTGGCTCCTCGCAACTGTTTGGCTTTGACAGTTTTTGCAATTTATATTTATTCCGAGGGCTGCACAAACCATCGGATACGCATAAGTAAACCATCGCCTGACCCTGCATAAATTAAGATAATCGCGTTTAGTTTTGGCCTGGCTTTTGCTTTTTTTCGGGAGTTTGAGTTTCAGTTTCTGTTTTGGTTTCTGTTTAGACATTGGCTGCATAATTTATGGCCCTGTGAAGTGGCGAAAACCTTTCAGCCAAAGTCAGGGCTTTAATTTTGTGTAATTGAACTCCAGCTGCGGTATTCCCATAATCAATGTCGACAACTTCAATGGGTTGATGGCGAGCTGTCCGCTTAATGGGTTAATGGTTTTGGTCGCCCCTTTGACAAGCCGGCTGGCTGGCAGTCTGCACAGAGGGAAAATATTGAAATACATTTAAAATATAATAATTTATAATTTTAAAGAATTCTTTAGGGTTTGTGGGAAGCTAAAACAAACCTTAGTTATTTTAAAAATATCTTTAATATTTGTTTTAAAATATATAAACCAAAAGGTTGCCTTATTTGAACTCTTATTAATTCCTTAACTTTATTAATAAACCCTTTTTGGTACCCTTAAAAACCAAACTGGTTTTTATATTTATTAGGTAAAACTTTATCCCTTATTTAATCCCAGTGCATTCCTTCTAAGCCTTGTCCTGGCTTGACAGGAAATGAAATCTGCCAGCTCCATTATCGCCTGTCCTGGTCTTTCTTGATCATTGAATTGCAATTTCCAGCTGGAACTTCTTGGGCACAGTCTCCGGACTATTTGCATAAGTATGCTGACGATTCCCGGAGTTGAGGGAGAGTTCATTGCAGCACGTGCTGCCCATGCTTAAGCACACATTGCGGTCTGGCCTTTGACCTTTGGCCAAACCAGGCGAAGCCCCGGTCCAGTTTGGTTCAGTTCCTCCGGTCTGGTTATTATTTTAATGGCTCTTCGAAGGGGCCTGCCTCGTTGCTGTTGCTGTTGGCAATGACCAGGCCATGATTTTAATGCCAATTTAATATAATTTTTATGCTCGGTCCTTGGCCAGGCTCTAAATACGTGCCAAAATGGAACCGAATCGAATCGAATCGCATTGGCAACGAAATTGCCGCAATGATTTGGCATATTTACTGGTCAAGAGCTGGAATATTTAATCGGAAATCGATGGATGACTCTACAAGAGTCTAAATAAGAGTTAAATTAAGAACTTAAACAAGGTCCCAGTGAAGTCCTGGCTTATCCCAAACCCTAATTAAATGCAGCTGTACAAAAAATATTCAACCTGAGTACAAATTGACAAACTTTTTCACGGAAAACTTTTCAAGGGGACCAACGACGGCACACAACATGTGGAAAGAGCGAGCGTTTTTTATTAAAATTTTCTCACTTAAGGCAAGCTTTGAGCCACTCGTAGTTGGTTTTCACTGTAATTAGTCGACTTGCCACTCGAACTCAGCCGCAGTTCTACCACTCATTAGCATTATTTTCCTCCCCCCAAAACCCCTCTAATTGTAGAGAGAAAACTTATTCTTTGGGGTGGAGGGAAAATGAGCTTCTTCCTTAGGCTGGCAGCAATTTTTCATCGCTGTCATCAATCAGCTTCACATAGGAATTGTACATCACGTACATCATGCCGCACATCAGGGCTGTAAAAAATATAGAAAAATAATTAAAGGCCTTGAAAATATGTATAAAAACAAGAGCAAACTTAAGTTTAACAAAATAAATAAAAACTTAAGTCGTAGACTCTTCAACCTTATCTTTTAACTTGAGTTATCAGAGATTGTTGGCTTTTGACTCACCTGAAACTGCCAATAGAATGCCACTGATTATCATCGAAGTTTCATCGGCAAAAAACCGCCAGGTATATTGTAAAAAGTTATACAAAATGCCAGCTATAAACGCCAAGGAACAGATCAACCAGGTCAATATAATCTCCTTTTTGTGCAGACTTTGCTGCTTTAGCAATCCAAAGATGAGTAAGCCAGAAGCCACTAGTTCTATGGGTCGCAGAATGTCCAAAACAGATGTTTGATCTTTTTGAAACAAATTTAATTATTAAACAGAAAAAGAGAAAACTCAATTTAAGTCTTACATTTATAAGGTATGCCCATGGTGGCCAAGGGAATTATAATTCCTAAAAAGCCTATGGCCAATTGAAGATATTTTGAATTTCGTATTAAATACATTTCAATGTTTTCAGCGCAAAAATCCACAAAGAACTGTTTGTAGGTGGAAATCTATAAAGCTAAAGTGGCGAATAAAAGGGAAATCTAATCTAATCGCTGGTTGGGAGATACTGTTTCATATGATAAGTAAAAGCTTAAGTACAACCTTACTTTTAACACATTTAATTTAAGTTTTACACACATATAAAACTGAATTACAGAACATATAAAACGTTCGTAGGAAATAATATTCGTTGCTCATTTCAACAATAAAAATAAATTATAAACAAAACGTTTAATAAACATGAACTTGAGGAATAATTGAATTGTATATAGGGGGATGTGATTCCTCTGGAGCTGTGGGTGTTGGCTGTTTTTCCCCCACACTTGATTTTTTATCCTTCGATTTTTCCAGCTCCTTAGTATAGGCCTTGTAGATCACAGCAGTCATGCATACAAGCAAAACTGAAAAATTTAAATGATTAATTTACCTTAAAAATACTCAGAAAGATGTGTTACTTACTGGCATAAATCCACAGAGAAGTGCATGTGCAAGAATAACATTTTCGAATAGAATAAAAATGTGTACCGAAATATATCAGCGATGATGTTAGCCAAATTAAAAGAATATTAGCCCTGTGCTGCTTTTGGGCAAACAAGGTGCCCAGAACCAACAGGGCCGAAGCTGTGGTAAGTAGGGCCTTGCCCAATTTTTCCACCTCAGTGCGACCTTGGAATAAAAATTAGTTTATTAATTCGTTAAGAATAATTTGACTATAGTTACCATTTGCCAATATCTCAAATATGTCTACGCCCATGAAGACATTGATCAGACCGATGATTACTTCCCGAAACATTTTCCTTTAGCAGTTCGAACTCAACTGAGTCAAAAGTTTCTCGAAATCTTTAGCACAGATCATGGAAGTACTCTAACCCCAGCAAAGGGTTGATCTCCTTTCGCAACCCATTTGACACCGAACAAAGTTCATAAAACAAAATGAATGCATAACTAATTCGGCACACACACTATGTGCATTCATGTTTATTTGATGGCTCAACTTTTCGACACTTTGTGCATTAGAAAGTTTTACTAGTTTGGGACTTTAGTGGCAATTATATTTACATTCAACCGACACTCGCTTAAGTTTTTCGGCTTAAACAGGTGAACAAGACTCCGGGAACCGGAAAAAAACTTTTCCAACTTTGGAGTTTTTAATTAGAATTTGTTTCCAACACTCGGAGGGCAGGAACTTCTTACATTCAGACAGCAAATGCATTGCCAAGTTATAATAAATAACATTCCAGAAGAGAGAGCCATGAATCGAGTATATAATTTATGAATATATTTTTGTAATTAACAGGCCAAAGAAATTTATCATAAATTTCCATCTAATTGCATTTTTATGGCATCAAGTTTTGGGGCTTTCCTTCTCTCCCTGCAAAAGCCATTATAAATAAACGTGACGGGTGAGTGAAAATTGTGGGAAAACTGGCAGGTAGTCAGGGTTTTTCCTAAGCTTATTTGTTGTTTATTTATATTTATTATAATTCATATTTCTTATTATTATTTATATTTAATTTTCTTTCTTTGCTAGAGTATTTCTTGTTCGCTGTGGAATAATTTTGTTTATGTTTATAGATTTTTGTGCTCTTTTATTTGTTTATATTTACAATATTATAGGGTATGCTGCTTGTTCAAAATGTATACAAATTTACATTTTAAAATTTGTTAAGAATTTTATAAAACTTCAAGACCCTTTCTTTATAATTTTACAAAAAGCTTTTCCTTATTTCTTCTTAGGTATCCATTAGTCGATTGTTTTTCCCACTTATATTTTTCAGAAATTCCTCTCCTTTACAGTTTACATTTAAGAACAATGCTCTCCCGTCGTTCGCTGCTGTTGATTGTATATTAATTTGGTTGTTTATTAGGCGTAAATGGAAAAAACTGTGCGAAACTTTGGCCATTAGAAGAGACTCGCTCTCGCTGGCTGTTTTTGGATGATTCACGAGAGATCTCTATCTGGCCACGCCCTTTCTTTTGCCAGGCTAAAAGAAAAATCAAATTTGGTGGTGGAAATGTTGCTCATTTATTTCATTTAAATGCGCATTTAAATCTATTTAAAACTCCACATGAGCCAGTCACAAAGCCGCGCTGGAAATAAAGGGCAAATAAAAGGCAACCCCAAAGACGGGTGGAGGGCAGGACATAAGGACATCGTCTGTCTCCTCCAGGCTACCCACACTCCATCATCGACCAGCGTGTTCCCTCTCAGCATGATTTAACGATAATGAAGGTATTTACGAGTTTAGCCTTGCTGCTCTGTGCCTTCTTTTTTTGTTTCTTTATTTATTTTTTTTTTTTCTCTGGCCAAAAGGAAAACTCATCATAATCCAACAGCAGGCAGCAAAAGGTTATCCGAAACACACAAACACACACACACCGAAACATTTGGGGACTTGTATCTACGTGTGTCCTGGCACTTTGGAGATATGTTCTTTGCCAAGAAGAAACTTTTTTGTTGGCGCCGTTGATAAGGACAACAACTACTCAAAGAAGCCAGCTGAGTCCTCAATCCGGAATAAGGAATCTCTAACTGAACCCCGGCCCGGGGGCTCATGTATATGGTATATAGGTAACACACGCTCGCAGTGCCAATAAAACTCAATTTGCCATAAAATTGTTTCACAGTCAAACATAATTACGACAGCCTAAAGACGAGCATAAATTTGATTTTCCAATTTACGATTAAGGCCCTCAAAATGTACACAAAAATATTAATATCTGAGCGCGAGAGGCAAATTTCATTTCATTTCTATGGCAAACACACCTTTTATCGCCTTTTGACTTCTCCCTCCCCTAGCTGGGGTTTTTTTTTTCTTCTGTTTCCACTCACTTACATGCATTTTTTATTACGCCCCTCAACGGCGGAGGTCCTGCGCGGATTTTATTGTCCTGCTCAAGGTACTGCTGCCAGCAGCTTCCAGTTTCTGGCTCTCCTGGCTCCTTGGCAGGTCGCGGAGCTTACAGCTAGTTAGTGGAAACAAAAGCAACTTAACCTGGCCAAAATCGCCTTACGCCGTGGTCGACCTTCGTTGGCGGGCTCACTTTCACACGGAAGAAAAATTGACCAACAATAAGTTTTTTAAGTTATTAAGAAAATTAATACTTAAAAAGATAAAGAGATTTATAATTAAAATTGATATAAAATAGAGTTAAATTTCCCTTTTTATCATTTCAAACAGAAAATAAGTTTTATAAAATATGTTCCTCTATCAAAAGCATTTAGAAATATATAAAAACTTAATTTTAAATTTGCTTAAAAGGCTCAAAATATTTTTAAAACTTATTAAAATTAGTAGAATATATATTAAATAATATATAATTTATATTTATATTTATTTACATATTTCTCCCTTATAAACCTCAATTTTCTCACTGCACTTTTCCCCCAGGCAACCGAAATTCGTCACAAAATTTTTGTCGCCAAGGGGAAAAACTTTTGAATTATGAAAAGAAAAGCAAGCTGATGAGGGTGGCTGAGGGTGGTGGTGAGTTAATTGCATGTCCTTGAGATGCATACGGAATCGAAGTTTTCCATTTTCAGTGCTGAAAAGCAGCGGTCGTTGCAAATGGAATGGAAAGTGGCGAGAAACCTTCAAACAAAATCGACACGAATGGCAAAGACAATGGCTCACTTAAGGCCCAGTGCCGCTGCTGGCTGTTGGCCAAAATGCATTTTCGGGGCAAGGAAATCCCCCAATGATTGGCGCTGCTTTGTGGTGAATCCTTTCCCCCACCGGCTTTCCCTGCTCACTGCCATTATTCGAATAATCGCAATCATCAGAAAGCATACGTTGCGTATACGCAATGTTGGCAAGCTGAAAAGGCATTTCATTTGTTGAGTTGTCTTGCGTTGTGCACATTTTCAATTATAATTATTACCAACAGAGGCAGAGGAGCATGGCAGTTGCTCTGTTTGACTTTGCACGCTGGGGGAAATTATTTGCATTGCTTTTTATTTCACGTTTTTGTTTCTTTGGCGAAATCACCTGAGTAATGCACTTGATGCCAGCGTAATTTCCCCTTTTTGCATTGTCCTTGTGCGTTTTATTCTGGATTTTTATAGGGTATATTGGTGGGATATCCTTTGGATATTATTTTCTCAAAAACAAAAGTTTAATGTGGGCTATTTTCTAGCTAAAATAAATAGTTTTAAAGAGTTTTCTTTTATTTAAAATGTTTAAAATTCCAACTTAATATTCTATAATTTTACTATTAAGTATTCCCCAGTCGAAATAGGCTCTTCAAAATATATATTAAATTTTTTTTCTGCAATTTCTGCCAATTGTTGTTGTTGTTTTAAGTGGTTGTTGCTGGTCCCAGGCACTTGTAGTTGCGATTGCTGCTCTCCCTCCATTTGGCCAAAGGCAACTTTTAACATTTAATGATGCTGCTTTGTATTTTAATACGCTTTTGCCAGGATATACCCCTTATACCACCCTCTCTCTCTCTCTCTACTCTTTCCACCCAGCACAAGGCCCTTTCCGCAGGCCAGGCCACGGCTCCTCTTCAGCCAGCACGTGCCATAAGCAGCGCTTTGAAAACTTTTAAGTAGACAAGCAATGTCCTCCTCTGTGCCTGTGCCTGTGCTCCTTTTCCAGCTTTCAGGGTTTTTTTTTATTGTACCCCCTTTCTTTCAACATCTTCTATTACTTGTCCTGCCTTTTTGCGCTTGAAGTTGTCTGCTCAGTTCCAATTTTTCAAGCAGCCCACCTGCCAAGGTGTTTGAAGCAATTTGTGTCGCCCGTCTCGGGTTGCAGTTGTGTCTCCCAGCCTACCCACGTCTCCCCAACCAAGTTTCTGTTCCGACCAACGGTCGGTCGTCCTGGCCACGTCCTTGACAACAAATCTTCGGCTTGGCTTCACCATTGTCCCAGGCCCGTTGGCGTGCGGTGTGCAGATTGCGCCAATTTCACCTGTTGCCTGCAGGGTCGACGAGGACAAGCACTGAGAGAAAAGTAATAGATAAAATATTAAACTTTATGCTTTGATTTTGAGGATATTAAATATCCTACAGGAAAGCCTAGGTCCTAGGTGTAAACTTACCATAACTTTTATCATTTTCTGTAGTAGAAGAAGACCACCTAAGACTTCTTCCAGTGCCTTCATCTAGCTCGACTTGTTAGCTTCCCCTTGCCGCAAAGTTTTGTGGCGGTTTCTGCGTGCTTTTAAACCTATTTTTTTCGGGAGGAGCAGCAGGACATGTCAGGAGGCGGAGGGATTCCTCACTTAGTCGGAAATGAGAGCTGCATGTGCTGCTGCGCCTTCTACTTTTAATGCAATTCCAATTTAAGTTGGCCGCAGTTTGAATGCATTTCAAATCGCAGCGAATCGAAACGTTACAGAGTGCAAAATGAATGAAAAACTTTCTGCCAGTTTCGAAATCACGAAAGTAATTGCAATTCGAAGGAAGAATTTGCGAACAATTTACGAAATTAAGTTCCCAGAAAGTTCCAGCAAAGGTTTAATGCGCGCGCGAAGGGAGAAAAACTTGCCCCGAAGTTCCTTTTCTTTGCATTTTCATTTTCCTTTTCACTTCTCCTTTTCCTCCTTTTCCTCCTTTCAACCCCATCAGGATCTGCTGAAGACTGGCAGTGCTGGGGTCAATCTGCATCACTGAGCGAAGCATGCAAATGGCAGTGCAAGGGACACATAGTCATTACAAATTAATTTCACACGTGAGTAAGTCGCTGCAACAGCCCAGGACCCCAGCCAGGACATGGGGGGAGGGACATCACCTCGTCCTACATCTCACATCAGGCATAATGTCAGTCATATGACATTCAATTAGGCAAGTTG